CAGTATCACAGAACTGTGCCCTTAAAAATGGCTAAAATGGTTATTTCAATATTATGTATATTCTAATATAATAAAAATGAGAAACCTGGGGCCAGGGATTTAGCTCAGTGGTTTCGCCGCCTGCTGTGCAAGTGCAAGGACCCGAGTTCGATCCCCAGTACCAAAAAAAAAAAATGAGAAACCTAAAATAAGAAAACAGTGCAATGCTAGTGCTAACATAATCATGTTAATGAAAAAATAAAAATTCCAGAAACATAGTATTACATTTGACAAAGAAGAAATATTTTTTAAAGTGAAAAAAGGTAGATGGTCATGTATGCTGTTGAAATAACTGACTGTAAAAATAAAAAATAAAATTGATCCCGACCTTGCAGCTAACACCTTCCCTCCAAAAATCCAAATATATTAAATATGCAATTTTAATATGTATATGCCTTAAAGTTGAGAATGTCTTCCTAATAAGACACTAAAAGCATACATTATGAAGTAAAACATGGGTTAATTAGACCCCTAAAATGTAAGGCCTCACTATAGCAAAGAACGCCATGAATGAAATTAAAGGCAACTGACCAACCAGAAAAAAGAAAAGGCAACATATATGGCAGAGGATTAATATTTTCAACATATAAAGAAGACTTCAAAGCATAAGACACAACTAATAACAATGTAATCTCTAAAAAGTAAAATAAAGCCTTCAGTAACCTAATGACAGAAAGGAACTATTCCAAGTAAAATTAAAATATAATAATTTAATTGGTCATACCTTGTGGGATAGACCGTAAGGACAAGAACAATCCCCAAAAATAAATAATAAATTTCAAATTGTATTTTACTATGGGCAGTAGAGTTGGTATTGTCATTCTAAGACTGTTATTTTGATGTAAAGAGCCAGGATTTTTGGTGTGGAAGAAAAGAGATAAAGATGTTAGATCAAAGAGGTAAAATAATTCTAGAGTCATGATTTTGAATGGAAAATATGAATGCATGCAGTATGGATGCATAATGTATTTTTAATGGTATTTCCTATCTCTGTGTACTGGAAGGGCTTAGAAACAATGAGTGCAGTATCAATTAGTACCTTGTGCATCTAGCTGTACCTAAAATATAATTTTCTTCTAAAAGGAAGCAGGATTCCCCAGATAAATTACTAATTTCAGGTTTAGGGCAAGAAATGTAGAAGAAGAGCTTGGAAGAGATTCCATTCCATGGGCCCAGGGTTTAGCTCAGTGGTGCCGTGCCTGCCTCTCCTGAGTTCAATCCCCAGTACTGAGGGGGGAAAAAAAAAGAGAGAGAGAGATTGCATTCCAAATAATAAGGAAGCTACTAAGGATGTGTTGAAAGGGTGCAGGAAGCAATTTGAAGAGATGCTTATTGGTCAGTACAGGACAATCTCAGTCCTAACTACAATGGATTTAAACAAACAAATACATTTAAATATATGAGGTCATATTGAGGATTTTGAGAAACCAACTTGTTGTTTTGAGGGGAAAAAAAAGAAAAAAGAATCAAGCCCTTACCTGCCTTACCTATATGAACTGTAGGTTTTCAGCTAGTAAAGATCAAGGGAATGACAGATTAAAAATATCACAATTTTTGAAATCTCTAATCAGTAGATATATTTAGCAATGTTCAGCATTGTCTGTCATCAATGCCACCTTCAACATCATTAGAAGAGAAAGCCAGATGTCCTCTACCTCCTAATAGAAATCCACACCACCACGTGTAGTATTGCTAAAGAAAAAAAAGCTGAATCTGATCAAATATTTAGATCTAACAACAAATTTAGTGATGGTTCAGAGGAAAGAGGAATACATACATTAAACACCAACATAGTAATCAATCAGTAAACTCCAGATGTGGGAGAGAATCTGATTTCTTCTGCAACAACAAAAACGTAGGAAAAAAGAGAGGGAAGGAAAGAAGGAAAGAGGTAAATGAAAATGGAATCTGTAGATTAAAAGAGACAGATGTATAGAAAAATAGAGAAATTAGATAATATTAGAATTAGAAATATCCAATAATGTTTAGAAAATTTTACTGGCTTCTGTTGGGTGTAATGTAGTACAATGGTTATTTTTGAAAGGGTAATATCTTTTATAGATACATAGACAAATATCTGTAGATGTAATGATGATTATTTAGGAGAGGATTAATTGGGAGAGGACCACAAGAAACAAGATTGTTAAAGTTGAGCAGTAGGGACATCAAGATAATTATAAAAGTCTATTTTTATATATACTTGACATTTTCCACAGCAACAAAGAAAAGTTAATTACATCAACTAACAAAGGGAAAGGGAGGGGCTAAGAATATAATTAGGCAACTCATGAAAGAAGAAATAGAAATAATAAATATGAAAAAAGAATTCCACTTTAGAAGAAATCCAAAGAGTGAAAAATCACATTGCCAAACATTGAAAGATGAATGATATCCATGGTGACAAGAAAATATAAAAATGAGCTCTCTTGTGCGCTGCAAACACTAAACTGGCTCAAGTTTTCTGGAGAACATTTGGTAGTAGATAACAAAAGTACATGGGGCTGGGAGCCAGGGCTCCAGGGCCAGGCTGCCAACTGGCTGTCACAGCCAATGCACCACTTACTTGTGGCAGGACTTAAAGCAAGCTCCTTAACTTGCGTCTCAATTCCTAGTCCGTAAAATGCATGTAACAGTGGCATCTATCTCAAAAGGTTGCTGGGAGGTTAAATCAGTTAATTTCATGAGGAACTTGGATCACATCCTGGAGTGCTATCTTTCATTTATTGGTCCAGCAATGTCACTTTTAAGCATTTATTCTAATAAAATTTTAATTAAATACACAAAGATATATATACAGATTTTTAAATAACTTCACGATTTATAAAAGGCAACAAGTAGAAATGACTAATTAAATAAATTTTTGTAATCTTTGCCTATGTGGCTGTTAAATATAATTATGCTGATGTGTATGTATTAATCTAAGGACATTTGTAATCTCTTTGCAAGGAGGAAAATCAAGCTAGAGAGATAAGGAGGATTTTTTTTTATTGGTGCATACACATCTAGATGTTAACAGTAGTTAATTCTGAATTTAGAAATTATTCATTTATTTTCTTTTTGATTATAGTTTCTAATTTTTCTACATAATTCTGATTGTATAATTTTAAAATAATCTGTTACATATGTTCCTCAGTTCTTACAAATATTGCTGCAATATTTAATTTTAGCTACCAATTTTAAGGGATTAAGAGATACCAAGCTGGCAAAGCATTATTTTAGGGTATCTCTGTGTTTCCAGCAGAAACTGGTATTTGAATCAATAAAATGACTAAGGAAGATCCATCCTCACTCAGTGTGGGCAGGTATCACCTAATTGGCTGATGGTTCAGGTAGAACAAAAAGGTAAAGAATCCAGACTCTCTCTGTCTCTCTCCCTCCCTACCTCTCCCTCTCTCTCCCCACCCCCTCTCTCTTTAATATCTTTCTTCTCTTGTCCTTTGATGTCAGAACTCCAGGATTTTGGCCTTTGGGCTCTAAGAGAGGTACCGGTAACCCTCCTGGGCCTCAGATCTCACCCTTAGGCTGACAGTTGCACCACAGGCTCTCCTGGTTCTCATCTTCAGAACTGGCCAGAGCCACACTGTTGTCTTCCTTGGATCACAGACTTTCGGATGACCTATCACAGGACTTCTCGGTCTCCGAAAGTGTCCCACAGATGCATGGGAAGCCTGGAGCAATTACTCACCAACACCCATTCCACCGTGGTCATGAGCTGTCCTGGAACATCAGCCCTCCCACACGATCAGGCTGCACCTCCAAGTAATCATGCCACTGTCTACAGGTCAGACATAACCCTGAGGCCAAAACGCAGATGCCAGGGCAGTTGTGTGATTATAGGAGGCTGGCTGTGGAGCAATGCTCAGAGCTGGGAGGCATCAGGATGTGATGGGAAGACCAGACTGGGGCAGCACAAGCATCTCTTACCCAGACCCAGTAAATAAGAAAATGTGACTTTGCTGGTAGAATCCGAAGGGGAGAATGAACCCTACACCACTTCCCACTCGCTGCTGTCTTCCTCCTCACACAGTCACTGGGATTATCCATCATAAACATTCTCAGCTGCTCAGTGAGATGCACAAAGGGAATTACCAACCAGCCACCCAGGAGTGTGCTGGCTACAATGCCCACATAAGAATCCTCATAAACCATACTCCAGGCTCACTGAACAGTTTCCTTCATACCACCATTCCCCAGCCCTACCCCTTCCCATCACCAGACCCCTTCTCCTCTGTGATGCCTTTCTATCACCCTCTGGTTCCTCCTATGAGAGCTTTGAGGCCTACCCCACATGTCAGGAACATAGGGTGAGGGCTGAAGATGGGTGAAACAAGACTGCCATAATTTGATAATGGCTGGGGCCCAGTGGTAAGGACATGGGCTTGCCATGCTATCCTCTCTACTCAAATGTATGTTTGAAATTTCCCATAAATAAAAATTTAAAACACATCTTGCTATAGTAGACATGAAGGTACAGGACTGGGCCTTCCTTTAGGAATAGAAATTGCTGTTCAACACTGAGGAATGAAGTTGGCCGACAGGGTTCCCTCAGCTTTCAGGTGGAAGTCGCACTCACCTTGGACTGCCCCAACCCGCAGCCAAGAACCGTGCAGGAGTGCCTGAGAGTCCTACTCAATGGGCACTCCTTCCTGAGCACCTGTTGCTGTGGGCCTCCCCGCTGGGCTGATAGAGACCCTGTCAACCCTACACTGCAGTCTGGGACTCTTCTGCCTCCTTTCTCCTCTTCCTCTCTTTCCATTTTGTATTGTACTCTACAGCCTTTCTCTCCCTGATCCCACTTCTGCCACCTTTACCTTTCCCAGGTGTGGCTCCTCAGTAACTAACTCCACCTGGGTAACAGCATTCCAAAGGACCTAAACCAACACAATGGAAGTGCAGGTGTTTCCTCCCCTCTTCACCACCCTCAGCCCCTGCAAAGCTTAAAAAATAATAAAGAAATCACAGACAGTTATGTGCATCATACTATATTTAAATGCTTACACATAATAAAGTAATGTTTTCACACTAAAAAAATACAATGGTTATATATATATGACTTGATTTTGGAAATAATATTAAAAATTAAATCTGTGGTCCTCTGGAAACATGAAGCCTCAGCCATGTGGCTCTCTTTTCTTCCTACCTGTGAACAGGCCCTACAGATATCACAACTCTGGGAAGTTCTCCAAGATCATTCGGGCCTCTCCTATGCTCCCAAAACACTCCAGTCTCTGTCATTAGTACCTAGTGGCCCTGGAGGTAAACACTCTACCCTACCCACCTCTGCCTGCACCCCAAATCAGTAACATGAGGCTGGAAAAGCCAGCACAGAGTATGTACTCAATAAATGACTTTGGAGCAATTACTGGCAGGCATCAGGACCCCTTACAGTGACCCTGTAGATTTATAAAAGGCTCTGGAAGAGTGGCTAAGTGACTCTTTTCAGCCTGGGGTGGACACGGAAATGGACGATGGAAACTGCATAGATTTCCTGTTATAACCATTTCTCAAGCCTTGGGAACTAGGGTACCTTCCCAGTTACCCCTGACCCTCTAGTAAAGGCAGAAGAGGGAGAGGTCATATTTGGCCCCTGCTCGGCTTTTCTCCAAGGGTTGATGGTGAAAGCAAAAGGCCCCACAGCCTCTCCTGATAGGGTGTGCCCCAAGCTGGCCCCAGCCAGGTAACAAGGGCCCTTTGGCCAGCAAGGCCTGGACAGGGTCACCAGCCAGGGACCCTGGGCCGGCCAGAATTCCAAGAACTGGCATCAATCTTCTCTGGGAGCTTTGAGCGGGACCAGGGCTTTGGTTTCTCTCTCTGGTCCAGGTCCTGAGAGAGATCTTCCAAGGAAGAGATCTCCAAGTCGCTCTCATCTTCAGAAAGCTGCAAGAGATAGGGGAGAATAAAAGAATTTTGATAAACTCAGTAGAGCAGAGAGCTAAGCACCAACCATGCAAGATAGGAACAGGAACAAATACAGACTTGGAAGAAAGCAATAGGGAGCTGCTACTCCTCCTGCCTTTTTAAGTCTCCCTGCTTTTGAGAATCTGCTCCAGGGACCTGGGGCCAGAGTGATTTCAAATACCCCTGGAATTCAGGGCTCTTGTTTCCATTTAAACTGTGTAGATTTTTAACTCCCCACGTTGACGGGGCTAGAACCCCACAGCCTTGACCTTTGCAAGTTCTTGAGCTGGATGCACCATGGGCAAAAGTAGCCCCTTCCTCTCAGACTGGGTCTGAGAGGCCTGGTAAACACTGACTGAAGGAGCACATGGGAAGGTTGGAAGTATCAGAACTCTTCAGTGAATAGGGGAGTCCAGAGCCTTCAGCCTGGAAGGGGCCTGGGCTGCAGCCAATGGTAGAACTCAGAGCCTGGCAAGAGACCAGGCTACTCCAAGACCATAGTAACAGCCCAGGTCAGGCATTTCCCTCCAGAGGTCTCAGTGCCCCTGCCAGGTGCCTGGGCTTTTACATGAGACATTCTATGCACTTCTTCCTGGCATGAAAGGCCAACCAATTAAAAGCCACTAGGCCTAGGGCAGCAGCCATGCTCAGGGCAGTGCTTCCATCTGCATGGGACAGTGAGTAGTCTTGCACCATAGGGAAAGGGGGCAAGCTGGGGTTCTTTCGCATAAACCCAGTATAAACCAACCTCACTGTTTAATAAAAAGGTGAGGGATTAGAGGATGATATTAAAAAAAAAGAATGAGGGGCTCGGTGGTAAAGCACTTGGCTAGCATGCAGGAGGCTCTGAGTCCACAGTAAAAAAAAAGACAAAGAATGATTGCCTGCTACTTCAGAATATGAGGGCAATACCATGGATCATCTCAAGAAACAACTTCTTGATTGAAAAGGGGAGAAAGAAATGTGAGGTAAGGAGAGCTCTAAATCTTTCTAAGAAAATAACAGGAGAGTGGAAGTTTTCCCTGATGGGCAAAGAGAGAGCAGTAAGGAGAGTCTAATAACGTTGGGGAAGCACCACATCTGAACTCAAAGTCTGAGAATCTGACCACAGCCATGGCTTGTGAGAGCCACTCTGACAAAGCACGGCTTTGAATATTTAGAACAAAAGCATCTAAATAATCCCATTTTACACTGTTGTCTCTGAAGTGCTATGTGGTGCCACTCCGAGACCCAGCAGCAGGGGACTCTGCTCAACATGTGGCCTTAGGCTGCATGGTGGTTAAATGGTCAGCTTGAGTGGGAACAGCCAGCTGAACTGAGATAGCCTGGTTCCGTGGAATGGTATAAAAGATGAGGAGGGGAGGATTTTTATCCTCATTTCCCACAGAAAAGCTTTGGCTGTTCTCTTCAGCTGAGCTCTACCTTCACCAAAGATAACTGTTGTTCCATCTTCTCCCTTGCCTTGAGCGTCGTCTTCTGGCCTTTGGCACAGACACTTCGGCTGGGAGCTCTGCCCTTGGCCTTCTCCTTGGTCATCGTCTCCTGGTTCTCAGAGCTGATTCTTCAGCTTCCAGCAACGGCCTTTCAGCCTACCAGTGCAGACCCTTGGACTTTCCAGCGCAGATTCCTCAGTCTCCATCGTGGGTTCCTCAGCCTCCTGATGCGGACTTGCATGGGACATTGCTGTGGACTCTGGGCTTTCAGCGGGACTTGTACAGGACACTGCTGTGGATCCTGGCCCCAGGCAAGATTCCTCGGATCTCCAGCATCCAGACAGATCTCCTGCACTCTTGTACATCTGACTCTAGTAAGCACTGACTAATACAGGTTGGGATCCTCCACAAAGTGAAGTGAAGACCGAGTGGGGCCCACAATGGAAGAGAAGGAGCACAAAGCTGAGAACTAAATTTGCTGAGCAGTTGCTAGTATACTGACCCGAAATGGTGATCTCTACATGTGTAGGAGCAGAGCTGAATAATGACACCTGCAATATCCCACTAAGGTCAAAGATGACACTTGCTGAATCCAGCCCCAACTGTCACCCTGGGCCTCTCAAACTTGGAGCTGGCTCTACAGGGAATGGTAGGGCCACCCCCAAGACTCCTATATCCTACCTGAGGCTTCCTTCCCAGCATGGTAGCCTTCTGAGGCCCGGCATTGGGCCTTAAGAACAGACTGACCCCTCCAGCAGGATTCTTCACTGGAGCCTCAAGCTGCTTCTCGAGATTTTTCACCATCAACTGCACCAGTGTCCCTGGCAGGGAGAACAAGCAGCTGTGTCTTTGGAAAAAGCCTGGAGAATGAATGCTTCATCCTGGTGGGTCTTGTCCAGGCTCCAGTATAGAAGGAGGAAATGGAAAGAAGGTCAAGAGGAAGCTAGGGCTTTCACCGCCTGGTGCGCAAGCGCAAGGACCCAAGTTCAATACCCGGTACCAAAAAAAAAAAAAAAAAAAAGAGCAAGTTAGGGAAAGCTTAAAGAGGAGGGCCATGGAGGCAGAGAAGGCCAGCCTAACAGGACCTTGGATTATTCCGAAAATGACATTATGCAAACATAATGACATGGGTTGACAGAAGCTTAGAATATTTCTCCCTCTAAGGAGAGGCTGAAACAGCCCCTCCGCTCATTTTGGTTCATGAACTGCATGACTAACAGTCAGACAGGCCCTTCTTCAACACCTTCACCCAGACAAGAAGTAAGATCAAATATCAATTAGCACAGAAGGGCTCCAGGAAAGAATGACTTTCTGTGAGCTCTGTACAGGAAATAGGAGCTAGGCAGTGACACAGATCACCAACCGGCCTCTGGTGCATGGTAAACCAAGGTGATGGCTGGATCTCAGGAATGGCCAAGAAGTGGGGACTAACTGCATAAAAGTACAGCCTCCTGGAATTCAAATGCCTGGGACCTAAGCAGACTTCTAGAGCTAAAGCAGCTCTTGGCTCACAGATTCATTCAAGAAATGCTTGTTAAGGTCCTACTATATAGCAAGCACTGTACTTGTCAACCTCTTTATTAATCATTTATGCAAATACCTCATTTTACAACTAAGGAACCAAGATCTTTGCACAAAGGTAAACAGGTGGTAAGTGATACAGACAGGACTATCTCTGAAGATTCCTGTCAGTTCCAGGATCTTGCCAGCTTACCGCCCTGTCTGGTAAGGCATCAAAATTTCTCCAAGAGATCTGGTTCTGGTGAATTCTAATGGGCTGACAGGCTTGGATTATGCCTAGGACAGGACAAAGTACTACAGTGTCCAATAAGAGAGACTTGAAAATCACAAACTTAGTCATAAATCCCAGAGCTTCTTTTGCTGGCTTTGGAAAGACGAAGCTCTAAGTTCCATATTCTTTAACTTAGTTTGGCTAGGAAATGTGACTGAAACTATAGGCCTCCATTAGCAGTTTTAAAAGAAAATCTTGCAATAATGAGATAGGCACAGGTGTTCTAAGAAGAAAAGTTCTCAACTAGTCCTTGTAACCTGTTAGTTAAAAAATAATAAGTTTAAGGAATATTTGCATTCTAGTTATCATAAAGTTTAGCTTAAATCTCTATCATGCCCTCTTCATCAAAAGTTGAATCCCTGTCTATATCTTTGCAGAAAAAGGGCAAAAAAGGGCTGGGGATTTAGTTCAGTGGCACCATGCCTGCCTCAAAAGCGCAGGTCCTGAGTTTGATCCCCAGTAACAAAAAAGAAAGAAAAACTAGAGGGACAAAGTTTAGGGGCCGAGGATTTTGCTCAGTGGTTCCACCTAGTTTGATCCCTGGTACAAAAGAAAAAGAAAAAGGGCAAAAAGCCCTTTGGTAAGACAAAAAGTCTGCATGGCCGAGGCTGTAGGCAGAGATGTAAGGCAGTCTGCAGAAAGGTTTCCTGCTATCTACCCGCCCCAACCACCTCCCTAAGGTTAGTAGGAAACCACAGTCTTCACTATTCTTTTTATAATTTACAAAATTATGTTTGTTCAGACTGTGGACTTTCCTATGTGTGAGGCCCTAGGTTTAATCCCCAGCACTTCAAAAGAAAAAAAAAGTGTGTTAAACTACAAATATTCTAAGAAATGATATTTGTCAAAGTGTGTATTGACATTAACTATCCTCCCTTAAACTTGTAACCAAGGTTTGCCCTGGTGGCTATTTTTGTCACAGTGATGGTTACCTCTGAAACCACAAAACCTTGATATTGTGGTACTAATGAACTCAGGCAGTGTAAAATACTCAGCAGATGTGCTTCAGCTTCAGGACACAGCTAATGGCAGTTCTTCCTACGAAAAATTTATCTTATAGTAAATAAATAAGCAAGCAAGTAATGGCTCCAACATAGTAACTTCAAAAGTATGATACAGAATACATGATCTTGAACTAGTCACAACATCTCAGAGGCTATTTCAACATCTGTATCCATGTATAAACAAATGCTCCTTCACTTTCTTTGCTTTTGTTTGTTTTTGTTTTTGTTTTGCAGCAGTAGGGATTGAACCCAGGGCCTTCACACTGAGCTACATCCCCAGCACCTCCCCCTTTTTATTTTTTAATTTTGAGACTAAGCTGCTAGTTCCTCAAGCAGGGCTCAAATTTGCAGTCTTCTTGCCTCAGCCTCGTTACTTGATTTATGATGGGGTTATAATTCCCCAAAACCCCATTATAAATTGAAAATATAAATCAAAAATGTGTTTAGTACACCTAACTTACTGAACATCCTAGCTTAGCAACCCAGTGCATTGTAGAGGTCAGGTGTTTCTGTGGCCTATTACTGAAGACAGTATCGTACTACACATTGCTAGCCCAGATAAAGAGCAAAACATTTCTACTGAATGTGTATTGCTTGCATACTGTCATAAAATCAAAACCTCCTAAGTTAAGCAGTGGTAAGCACAGACAAGCACAGTATGTAGCACAGCCTTCCCCAGTCAGCACTGTGGAAAGTAAATGAGGGGAGTGAAGCTCAGTTGGTCCCAGCACCTGGAAGGAAGCTCCCCCGCCTCCATCCCAGGCTCCTAGGGCAGTGAAGCTCAGCCAGTCCCAGCACCCGGAAGGAAGCTCCCCACCTCCAATCCAGGCTCCTAGGACAGTGAAGCTCAGCTGGTCCCAGCACCCAGAAGGAAGCTCCCCCGCTGCCATCCCAAGCTCCTAGGGCAGAGAAGGTGAGCTGCGTGGGCACCAGAAGCACCACCACC